CTCTGCTACACTTCTCGACGAACGCTGTTCGTGACGTTGCATCTCTTTCGCGGTCGAAAATGCTCGACACAGTCCTCGAGAACCGGGGAGAATTCGCGGAACTGTCGTGTAGAATCGATAAGTTTGAGGACCTTGGAAGTTCCAGAGCAGATTCTCGCGTGTGCTGCCGGTCTAATCTTCAGCTGAAACTCGTCGGTTTCACCTGCAGTGCCTCTAAATACCTGCCGGATCTTATTTACCGCTTTTAACATCGCCAGATTCGCCAGTTTATCGTTGATTCGAGCTGCTACCTGTCCCCTCTTCGTCCCTGATATTTTTCGGATCGACGCAGTAGCGATTGTACGACCGTTCGTTCGAGCAGTTTTTCAGAATTGACTTTATCTAACTACCAGCCTGATTCCCTTTGGACAATAAACCGGTGGTGTTGACTTCCCAATTCCTCTTTGACAGGTCGGCTGTCGATTGATTTCTCAATTTCTGTTTGACTGTCGCCTGGTCAAAGTAGACACCCCCGGTACGAAGGGTTAAATAGAAAAAGTGGGTCGCTGCTAGGTGAGAGATCGTCCAATTAGCCGATCAAAGCGCGGAAATTAATGTGTTCTCGGTTGTCTGACAATCGTGTCGGAGGAGTTTTATATCACGGAAAGCAAAAACTTTGATGTGTCAATTTTTACACTTGAAGCAATCATTTTTAAGTGGTCCTTTCGATAGAAATTCGTTCGAGGTTGAATCATCTGTTCGGGTGAATTGTTGTGAAGCAGAAGTAAGAAGAAAGGAAAAGAAACTTGTTATTGGGAAATTTATCGTGGAAAAATTCAGGAAGGTGTAACGTTTAATAAATAATAATTTGATAAATAATTTCCTTCAGAATGAAGAAAATAAAAATAATACAAGTAATTGAACAACAAAGAGTGTATCAAATTTTTAAAGTGATAGCCCATGGTCTAACCTGTATTTGAAAAAAAATTAATATAAATTCTGAGTACAGTTAGCTAGAATTATATTCTTAAACGCGTGAATGAAAGATATTGCCCCTTTTTATGAAACGCATAAAATATTTCGATTTCCTAACTTTTACAATTTCAATATTTTCTCGCTTCTCTTTCGATTTCCTGGATTGGTCATGTTCTACGAATTTACCGAGTTGTCAGGCGAAGCAGAGAACGAAAGGACTGGCCGCTTTTCAACAGAAAAAGGGGGCCACTTGCACGATGCCGAAAAATAGAATTTTTCAAAGACGCGTGCCTCCAAGTCAATCACTTTATCGATCCTCCACGCTTTTATTGAAGCTTCGCCAGCGGTGACTGCACCGTTGGATGTCGAACTTCTCTTTTGCCGGTTTATTGAAGTCCCGTGTGAATGGAGGATCAGCTCTTAGTAGAAATTCCGCGGAATCCTCTCCTCTAAGGGTGTTCCTTTTCTCGTCGGGCTGAGTTTGATGCATATCGGTTCATTTTTTCGTGTGAAAGTTTAGAATACGCCTGTCGGCGGGCAACCCGCCGTGCACGGCTTACCTTTGTGTGATTTCTAGGGAGGTTTCTGTATGGAGATTAGGTTCCTTTATTTTGGATTTGTTTAACAATTTCGATGTTGTGATTTTTGAGAAAGAATTGCAACGTGTGTTTTGCAATATGTTTGAAATTTTGAAATAAGAATTTTCGTCTTATAGTGGGTTCGTATTAGTCATCAATAATTAGACGCTGATTATTAATACCACTGTATTGCAAAACGAAGATTTATAATTCATCTTGTGATTTTTGGGAAAGAATTGCAACGTGTGTTTTGCAATATGTTTGAAATTTTGAAATAAGAATGACATTTCGACATTTCGGATGAATGTCACTCTACAGAAAAATGAAGATTGTTATTCAAAAATTTGGAAAATATTGCGAACCACATGGTGCAACTTTTACTCAAAAACCTCACCGTTGAAATTGTGAAATAACTCGAAAACGGAAGAGGACAGTTTCCATACGAAAATTCCCTTGAAAATCACACAAAGGCAAGTAGCGCAATTATCGTCACAGTTT